GGCTGTTTTCCCCCTCATTTTGCTATTGATTTTTGCATATTTGCATATCATACTCCATGTCTTTGCCATGTCTCATTAGAGTGGCATTTCGGTGCCTGAGGGTCGGTCCTCGGTTTGCGTGCACGCGTGCACGCATTTCGAGTCGTCTTGTTTTCATCTGATGGCCTCCTATGTGAGTGTGGCTAAGGCTCTCTCATGTTGGTGTAAGCCCATTATTGCATTGCGTATGCTATTTCATCCATAGCATTGTGTATGCTCGGTTGTGTATTACTTCGTGCAGCGTGTATGCCATTCCATAACATTGTGTATGTTAGGATTGTATCTTAGTTGCATTTCATGCATGTCATGCATATTGCATCGTGTTCGGGATAAGAGTTAGCCCGGGCACGGGAAACGAGGTACGTTCCGTACTCCGAGTGACGGAGCGTGTCTCAATTCCCTAGTCACCGACACTCCGGATCATCCATGATGGAGTTAGGTCTTGTTTTGTTTTCATGTGCATTCATTTCATATTGAGTTGCACAATTCGACTCCTCAGCCATCATGCATCGAGATGCGTGATTGGTGGCACGAGGATCGAGGCATGCATACATTTGTGAAAATACATTGCTATGCCCCTTTCCTGCTCTCTGTTGCAGCAAATCAAGAATCAGCGGTCTTCCGAGGCTTGGCACGCATTTCAAGAACAGGTGCAAACAGAGGCTAATTGGGGCATCGTCATGGATTTCTGCACAAAGGCAACCCAAACATGATTGGGTGCATAAGTAAACTCTCATATCATTTTGTAATACCCCACCATTTACTTGTCCAAATAATTTGTGAATCTACCAACATGATTCAAAAATTTAAATCTAAATTTACTAATTAACAAGTTAATAACTTGTTAATAAATAACTTGAATTTAATAGAACCTTATATATCCAGAATAATTTTATGTACCCACACTTATCTATTCTGAATTTATCTCAAATGAAATTGTATAATTGTAATTGAATTAGTGTAGTGTGATGTCTATGTAAACTACAAAATAATAATTCTGAATAAATTCAGAAAATAAGAATAAATTTATAATATTACTATATCCAAGATCACTCGTGCAAAAATCTGACAAGTGACTATTGCCTCGACAAACCTTCACCACCAGTCCACATGTTTGCAGCAACCACCACCTGTCACCAATTCATTCTCCATCATCATTGGTAAGTCCTTTCCTCCGCTTCTCTTTGCCTCACTATATCACCTATTCATATATATACATAGGCTCATTTCTGATGTACCAAAAATAAATATATATATATCTATATATATATACACACTAGTATATGTCCGTGTCTGAAGATATGGTGAAAATATTGTTGGGATTAAAATGTAATTGACTATAAAATTATTGGGTTAAAATGTAATTCAGGTCTATTTGGTTTTGGATTTTCAAATGAATTTTAGATTTTGAAAAGAGTTTGTCAAACTTGAAATTTTGTTTGGTTGTATATTTTAAAAATAATTTTTACAAATTTAAAATTCAAAATTTATTTGGTTTTGGAGTTTTCAAAAACAGTTTTTAAATTTTATTGTCCAATTGAATTTAACAATAAATTTTGCTAGAAAAATTTATTTTTAACAATAAGCAAGATTCAATAATATCATTGTGATTGATGTAGTATTTGAAATCAAATTCTCAATGCAAAAATAGTTGCATTTTTGTTTGTCAAACAGAAATTTAAGATTGAAAAAATGGTGGTGTCCATGATTAGTAATGGCAAAGGTAATGTGATAAAAATTGTTGGAATTTATCAAGAAAACATAAAAATAGTGATGATACAATTACTTTTTTATACTCGTACAAATGCAAACAGAAACCATATCATCAAATATTATTATTGTACATTCTTTTTTTTTTTTTTAATCCACCTGCAATTTGCAACAGAAAATAAGCATTTTATTACCCTGACCAACAACAGTACTCAATTAAATTTCTATATTTTACTTTGATGTTTGAGGAAGGGGGTTTCAGATCAAAGCCGGTGGAGTGGGGATTATTTTTTGGCTAAATGTCCTAAAAGACTCTGTACTACCTCTTCATTTTGGTTTTCCCTTTTTTCTAGACACACTTTCAACGTGGACCATAAAACTTATCACTTTTGCAATATGCATTCATCAGAGTGGACGAAACAGTTGCATATAGTTCTCTAATTGTGTGTAAACTTGGTGCTTTACCCATTTCTTGAAAAATCATATTTTTTTTAGAGAGTGAGGCCAAGTTTGGGAAGATAAGAAAAAGTCAAAAAGTCAAAAAGTTACTCAAAAAGTTAAAAAGTTAACATTATTCACCAAAAGTCAACAATTACGGCTGCACAACTCTCAATCCTAATTTTTTCCTACAAACCAATTTTTACAATTTTTTAATACACATTTTTTCATAAAAAGTCAAAAAGTTAACCCAAACATCCATATTTTTTTCCTCAATTTTTTAGTCTAAAAAGACAAAAAGTGCACTTTATTTAGGACACCTCAACCAACCCCGAGTTTTGGTTGAAATAAAGAAGAGAGATCTCATGGCTATAATTTTGCATTAATTTTAATCTAATGGATGAAATCTACCAATTTCTATGGTTTGGTGTTCATTTTACTGTGTAGAAAATTAAATAAATGAAAAATAAATAAATTGTATACTACTGTAGTCTTAAACATAGATTTTCAAAATTAAACATAGATTTTCAAGCACATCAAAAGTATAAGATTTTAAACAAACCCCAAAGTGTAAGTCCCACAACACAAAAACATTGAAAAAAATCAGATGAAATACACTAGCCAGTGCTTTGCAATAGAAAAAAATAAACACCACCAGCCAGTACTCTGCAATACAAAGAAAATGCCCAATAACAAATTAAGCACATCAGTCAACGCTCTAAATGTTGTACAAAAACAATAAATTAAAGAATCAATGTTGTACAATAAAACAAATAACAAATTAAGCACATCAATTAGTGTCCACAATAGAAAAAAAATGACAAATAAATAAAGCACACCAGTCGTGCTTTGCAATATAAAAAAATTACAAAAATTATGTAATGAACAATTATTTAAATATAGATTAATATATGGAAGCAACACCCTTCTTGAAAAAAATATATGGAAGCAAAAATTGAAATTCAACCAAATAAAGATATGATTAGTTTTCTTTAACCTAATTGAAGAACATAGAAAGAGAAACAACAAAACATATAAAGAAAATTGAAATAAGTAATAAATTTCAAAATTGTAATTTCCTAATGAATTTATCATGAATATAGGCTTCCCATCTCATTTTGACATAATTGGGGTGATGCCTTCAAAAGTTCTCACCTCATTCTCTAATATATTTTCAAAATCAACTCTGTTTAAGGAATAGTTGAAATTAGTTTAATAAAAAATCAATTTAATAAAACATCAAATATCAATAGGAAATAAAATAAAACTAACCCAAGCCACTTTGAAGACTAACCTTATTGTTGATAGCAGAATATCATGGATGACACAACAAACCCAACCACTTTCACAACCAACTGTGTTGGAATGCCAGAAGTCTTGAAAAGATAAACGAATTCAAAAAGAAACCATGAAAATAGTGCATCAAAATACACTGGTTTTTCTTAATAAAGAAACATAAAATTCATAATCATGATCAAATAGAAAGGGGGGAGGGGGGAACTAAAGTCAAGTATATAAGAATTAAGAGGCAACAATACCACAACCTCCTCTTCTAGGGATGGTAATTTAAACCCAGCCCGATGGGGACCCGATCCCCCGACCCCAATTAGAATGGTTTTTTTTCCGAAAAATACCCTCGTGGGGACGGGAATGGTATTCGAAATTAAATCCCCGATCAATTTCGGGCCGGGACGGGGATCAGTGTTCAAGCCCCAGTCCGTCTCTGTCCCCGAATTTTCCCGAAGTAAAATTGCCATTTTACTCCTCTCTCTCTCTCTCTCTCTATATATATATATATATATAAACCAACCCTTTTCACTTACACAACACAGCAGCACCTCACTCACTTATCACCGCCTCTCGTCTCTCGTCTCTCTCTCTCTCTCTCTAAAACCCTCCGTTGATCTCCATCCTCCCATCACCGCGATCTCCCTCTCCCATCACCGCCGAGATCTGAGTTAACTTTTCCCGACCTCCGTCACTATCTTCGACCGCCGCTCCACTGCCTCTTTTTCTTCTTCAACGGCAGTGAGGCCAAGCTTGCTGAATCACCGCCACCATTACCACTGTTTGCGGCAGTTGCAGTGACACCATCCGATCCGGCAGTGACCCTAGATCTGGAATTTTTCTTCTCTCTCTCGATTTGTTATGTATATATATATATATTAGATTTGAGTATCAGATCTCTCTCTCTCTCTCTCTCTCTCTCTCTCTCTATGTTGTTGTTAATGATGATGATGAACAGATTAGATTTGAGCATCAGATCTCTCTCTCTATCTCTCTCTCTCTCTATGTTGTTGATGATGATGATGAACAGATCTGTTAGATCTTTCTTTCTTTTTTTTTCTTATTTTTTTTTAAACATTTGAGCTCATTAGATCTGTTAATGGTGATGATAATGATGAACAGATTTGTAAGATAATGATGAACATATCTCTCTTTCTACTATGTTGTTGTTGTTGTTGTTGTTGATAATGAACAAATCTGTTGGATCTTCTTTTTTTTTTTGTCGAGGGAATTTTTGGGGTTGAGGAAGTCCGATCCCCATTAGGGGACGGGAGCGGAGGCGGGGGTGGATATAGGTTCCCCGTCGGGGATCGGGGCCGGGGACGGGAGAATTTCCACCGTCGAGGATCGGGGACGGGGGGTGTGATCCCCAGCCCCGCCCCGTTGCCATTTCTGTCCTCCTCCTTCAACCCACTAATAAACTATTCATTTTCAATGAAATTCTAACATCTTGCACAATAGACACTAAATTTACACAAAAATTCATATCAAGCATATATGACTTCTCCCAAAATATGCAAAGATACTAAATTAAATCTTTACACTTAAATTTAGTGAATTTGCAAAAGCACTTTACAGTCCACACTGAATAACCACCTATAAGGTCCAACATTTTACGTTGATAGAGACTTTACAAAAATATTAGAAATCCACTGAACTACATATTAGTAGGAAGTTTTACAAAAGTGGTTAACATCAAGGATATACTTTATAAAATATTTGTCATATAATGTCTTCAAACTTATTCTTTTACAAAAAGTACTAAGGCCGCCTCTCTGATTGGTGAGTCCAATTGCCTTGAGTCCACCGTCAACATTGTACCCATCTACAGTGGCTTTGTCAATTGCCTTGCTCATACTAATCCTCACACTCTCCCAAATCTCCATCGGATCGTGCTCTACCCATCTGCAGATTCACAAAGAAAACAACAATAAAAATACAGAGCAATCACAGAGAGAGAGAGAGAGAGAGAGAGGGAGTTCATACCCTGCTTGTGGGTAGAACTAAGTGAACACGACCTAGTGAGATCTAATTGGGTGGGCATTTTTGTTGTATAGAATGAATCTGTTGCTGGTGGTTCCTTGATTGATTGACCCAATAAACACATTCTCTTTCGACAATTCTATTATTCTCTTCCTCCTTCAAAGAGTGTTATGTTGCATCTCAAATTGACCAAAAAATTAGAGCAAAACAGAGTTATGAAGATGAGGACACATAGAGCGAGAGAGAGAGGATGTGTTCAAAATTTAAAATCAGAAAGAAAGAGATGAGAGGAGCAAGTGTGTGAGAGAGACAGAGTGAGACATTTTCAACCGTTAGATTGATATCAATCTAATGGTCACTATTTTGAGAAAGGGACAAAAGTCCCATCAGGATAAAAAAGTAGAGTTGTTTTGTTATACGAAAAATAGATATTGAAACAATATAGATTAAGGATACCTTATTACAATTCCATCGGAGCAATATAGATGAAGGATACCTTATTACAATTCCATCGGAGCAATGTAATCTTCTTTACCCTCTTGAGCTCCGTAGCTTTTAACTAAAAGTTCGATTTGATCATAATTAAAACGCGATTTTAATTAAAATACATTTTCAATTTATTTCCTTCTTTCATCATTTGTGTTTTTTTTTAAACTTTAGTTACTTCCCTCTTCTATTTGGAAAATTTTATATCTTTATAAAAGATACTTTATAATGATGTAAGGATGCATAATTTATTGTTTCAAGTTTATTGTTTTGTAAGGATGCATAATTTATTGAAAATTAGTAATATTAAGGATTAAAAGCACAGTGCTCATCTTCACAAACTATACAGTAAAAAAAAATTACACATAGATTATGCTTGCTTCAAAATATCACATTCCTCCATGCTCCAAAACAAACTTAAAAAGAACCATACCACTTGTGTATTTTTTATTCCCTTTCCTGAGTAGTTTTCCTTCCCTTTTCCTATAAGCTTCTTATTTGCCTTCGCCTTTTAAAAAATAAGCAAAAATTATTAACAAAAAACATGAGAAGCAAATAAATTTGATTAGTGGGCTTACCCCACGAACACAGAGGACGTTGAAGTCCCATTCATTATGGATAACAATACTGACATTTCTGTTTTGAAAAAACTGAACCTGTGTATATATAAAAAAATTATATTAAGAAATGTAGATTAAATAAAAATTAGTACAGAGATCTAATATTACTGTTTCCTCCAACATATCATCCACCTGTAAAAAATAATACAAAAGCATTTGATTATGAGAAAAATTATAAATAACAAGTAAGAAATTAAGCCTCGATTCATAAAATATAAACTAAACATACATAACCAAAAATATGAATGTTGTCCATGATTTGAATTAAAATGAACACCAAGGTTGTTGAAGAGGTTGAAACACCACAGACTTGTAGTGAAGAAATAACTCATTTAATAGTGCTATAAATAGATTGGGTTTAAATACTAATGGGTCGTACAATGATTGTTTGATTACTTAATTGTGCCATAATTTAAGTACAACAGGCTATTTCTTTCTCACTATAATTCTAATTTTCAGCAATCAAATAAAAACAAATGATCACAGAACACTACTTTGCATGTTAAAAAAGGAAATCCAATTCACACATTTATCAAAATGACCCAAATCATTTATCAGAACACTAATCATATTTGAAACACTTCAATCTCATTTATACTTTTATTTGGTACACTGAAATGAGATGACATTAAATGAAATGGTAATTCCTTAAACTTTCCTATGGAATGATCATTTTCTTATAATAGTTAATGATGACTCTCATTGCAATGAATTTTTCATTATTCTTTTAGTCAACCAAACATGAGAACTGAAAGGAATCTTTGCACTTTATTACAGTGAACCAAACACTACCTTAGAGTTTCATGTGACATTTTATTGCAAAAGATTAAAACATAGGGAAAAGGAAAACAGGGAAAGAAACTCAATCAAATTGCCAAGTAAATAGTATGGAAGTAAACAACATTTTTCCTTCCTCTAATCAATCATTAATTTGAAGACACTGCAAGTTGAAATTCCAAGCTAATCTAAATATGCAAAATTCCTTTCAATACAGTACACCACCTCTATGGTAGTGATGTCGTAGATACAATTGGTTGTTGGATGAGTTTTGGTCAAAAGTCTACCCTTTTTGGCACTAATTTTTTCAGCCAAGCACATCTTGTAAGAAAGAAGTTACATTGCAAGGAAAAAATATAAGAGAAGTAGAAAGAAGCAAATCTATGTAGAACTAAGTTAGAAGTTAGAGTTAAAGACCCAAAATACAGGAGAAGCAAATCAATTTCCAGCAACACATAAAACATATTTTCAGAAACTTCAATCCCATCCCATTTAGACTATTAACTCTATAATTTCTGAAAATCTATATAAACATAAAAAAATGGCTGGTGTAGATTACAAATATAAGTAGGACATTTTCCAAAGAACTTGAAACACTTTTAAGCAGGACATCCCTAATTATTCCGACAAAAAAAAAGGGCCATTATTGACAAAAAAAGGCCATTATTAACAAAAGTTATAAAGCTAATTCATATACCATGAATAAAATATGTCATTGAAGGAATTAATAAAAAAATCACATAGATATGCAAATGCCAAACTAATAACCTACAAATCATTTTCCGCCATCAAATTTTACTAAAATTAAATAATTTATCAAAATGAGTTATGTTTCCAACTGAAACTATCAATAAAACACATCAATCACTTACTACTTTGATTCGTAAAATCTATTTATTAAAATGAACAAATAACAAAAGATTTGCACATATACACAGTTTGAAAATAATAATTGGACTCCAAACATTAAATAAAAATAATGAATCAGCCTAAAATTTTAAAGTATTTGTAACACAATCTGACTACAACATTAGAAGAAAATATTAATGAATCTTACCATTTTTCTTACAAATTAATAAATCCTAAAATTTTTAGATATGCCACATTATCCTAACCTGCCAAAGTGCAAATGAGTAGAAACATATGCAGCAGTAAAGTCAACAAATATATACTTTTGCACCTAAAGTGGACAAATAGATAGAAAAGCAAACAAAAAATATATATTTCATAAAGTCAAGCTCCATACAACCAACAAATAATTTCATCAAAAATAATTCTTCCCCTAGGTGGTCGACCACTAAAACATCTCCAATATATAACTAAGCTAACCTTTTTTTGACAAAAGACAGATATGAAAAAGAAATATTTCAATGTACATAAGAAAATATTATGAGCATTGAATTATTAACCTTAAAAAGATCTAAGAATTGACTTTCCAAAAAATTTTCATTTTTGGGGAAAAAAAAAAAGAGGAAAAGATAAAAGAAATGTCATTGAAGAGTAAATACTTGTTTTAGGTATATCATGTACAGACACTAAAAATTCTTGATTCAAAAGATTGGTATTACTTAATTTATTTTTTTTCTTCTATAAATTGGCTTTGCTTCCTCTTTTATCCCTAGTATTCAAATTATCTGCCATTCAATTTAAGAAAAGCAAAAACTACTAAAACGTAATTGAAAATTTGCAAATAAACACCAACAATGTCTTACTCATTATGATCTTGTGCGGGAAACTAAACACCAACAATTTAATTCTTTTAAACTCTGTTTGGATCATGAACTTGACTATGGATTTGAAAAAGAAAATAAAAATGAAAAAGAAGTATTGTACTGTTTGCTTTCAAGCCAATTTTGGTTTCAAGCCAATTTTGGTTCCCAAATACACGGGCACAGGTTTTAATTTTGGTTCTCAAATAAGATGGGCTTGCTCACCTTAACAGTATTTCTACCAGATTCTTTCTTTGTTGAACACCCTTGTATTCGGTCTTCGTCTTTGGGGCTACCACTGTTGATGATGATTGGGATGGCAGAGAGAGGTGGAGGAAGAGAGAAGATGAAGAGAGTAATAGGGGGTTTGGGGTTCGGTCGCCGGCAATGGTTGGGTTCTAACATGGAAGCACGGGAATGGGCTCCGATGGAGGTAGAGAGAGAGAGAGAGAGAGAGAGAGGGTGTGTGTTCAAAATTTGAAATCAGGGGGTTTGGGGCTGCCACTATTGATGATGATTGGGATGGCGGACAGAGGGAAGGAAGAAGAGAGAAGATGAAGAGAGTAATAGGGGGTTTGGGGTTCGGTCGCTGACAGGGAAGCACGTGAATGGGCTCCAAGAGAGAGAGAGAGAGAGAGAGAGAGAGAGAGAGGGTGTGTGTGTTCAAAATTTGAAAGAGGAGTGTGTTCAAAATTTAAGAGGAGTGTGTGTGTGTGTGAGACAGAGAGAGAGAGAGGGTGTGTTGAAAATGTAAGGTGATTGCATTTT